CCAGTAATAACAAAGAAAGCATTTTATTGTTTAAATATATTTACATTAGCAAATATTTCTTAGATGAACCTATTGAAGAGAAAATACGTTCAATTCTGTGTGAATGTCATTTGGGGGTCAGAGGTCATAGCGCGACCGGATCACAGAGTGATTTGATATTTTGACCAAACAATTTCTAGGTCATTGCGCTTCACTACATAGCAATACGTTGGCCCGTTCGTGTAATAAATACAATTTAACTCGAAATGTATTCGTTTCAAATGTAGTAATAAACAACAATGTTAAAAAACTTCACTGGGAAATGAACTTTTAGTTGGTACGTGATCCAATTTACTGAGAAGCCCTTCGGGCTTCACAGGATTTGATCACGTGACCAACTAAATGTTTATTTCCCAGAGAATTGTTTATTTCTTAAATGTACACTGAAGTCAATGTTGACTACTCATGGTATAAACTTAAAGCGTTTGTTCTATTTCTTTTTTTTACAAAGTAAAACTTTATTCTGCTATCTTCTTTTTTATTTATATGCAGTTCAATACATACGAGGGTCGTTCAGTAAGTAATGCAATACCGGTATATCATATTAAATGTTATGGCATTTGATTTTTTCATATTTGAAAAGATCTATTAAAGAGCTCTTATACACAGAAAATCCCGCGAATTTTCATATTGTATTCGCTGAGAAATTAATTTTTAAAGTAAACATGATCACTAAACTGAGCTGAAAACTGTTAATAAATGATCTCTGCCAAGAAGATGAAAATAAGAGAGCATTTGAAAATTGTGCTTTTTACATAAATCGCCGAAAACCTCATATTTAATATATGATTTTGATATGAAGACAAAATTATCTTTAACGTTGTATACTTTTTAGATGGATTCAATAATCAAGAGAAAAAAAACGACAGTTAAAATAGAACAGTCAATATGGTCAATTGAAATTTTGTGATGACACCAGAAAATATCGACTTTATGTACCACATGAAATTTGAAAATGTTTTATTCACATGGAAAGATATTCTTAAGATACTAAACATTAAATGGTCAGAGATTTTGTAGAATTCTGACAAAGAGAAACATAAAACAGTAATATTTCAATCAGATAGGTGCCCTATTGTCTCACAATGTCCAAGAGAGAACATTCGTTAAATGTGCCAATGATTTATAAAAACGAATGTTTAAACAAATTAAGATAGAAGATTGGATAAACTTGCTTAAAGTATGACGAAACATGCGTGCACTTTTTATAGCCGTGAAATATGATTAATGAGTAAAAAATTTGGAATCAAAGAAAAGGGGTGTCATTTAATTATGATGAAGAGAAACAATGGCTCCAAATATGTTTTATTAGTTTTTGTATATTTAAAGAGATCCATTTTAACATTTACATACATCCAAATGAAGGACTAGCATTGGTAAGTTTTATCTTCAAATTGCACAAAGGAAAGTTAGACAGATTTCCTGCAAAGGAAGTCCAAAATTCGGTGACCAGGGAATTTCTTCTTGTGCTTGACAACACAGCTGCATAATAAAGTATACGCTTAGAGAAATAAATAAGATTTTGAAGAAAATAAAGTAAACAGGACTTTTCAATCACCCATGTTAGCTTGATCGCAGCCACTGTGAGATCTTTTCATTCCCAAAATACATGAAAACAATCAAAGGAAGATTGTACAATGTCAGATATGTCATGGGAAATATTTTTCAGTGTCTTTGGGACATCCTTAAAGATGAGTGTGCTGAGTATTTCTTTAAATGGATACAAAGACCCAGACACGTGTAAAGGGTCACAGAAAATGCCTCGAGGGATCAAGAATATACATGTATACGCACTTTTCTAACTTTTAGATGAAATGTTGCATTATTTATTGAACGACCATCGTATATCATTTGTTAATCACGCTAAATTTGATCTTTGACAATTTCACTACCCTACCTGTGGGGTCTACAAAAGAGAATCCAAATAATAAAAGGACTTCTGCAGCTTTCTGATTAAGTGTTTCTCATGATTTTGTTTCAATTCAATTATGTATTTACTCAGTTTGATATAGATATTTGGTTGAAGGGGATATAGAAATGAAAATGATAACATTGAACCATAAATGTAGTAAGTTTAATGACTAAATATTTTTTTTAAAACTAGCACAAAAGGGGGATAGCTGTTTCCTTTTGTATACGTTTCTTTTTACAGAGTTAAATTATAAGTAAATGTGATAATATTCTATTCAAATAATTCTCCAGTTCCTTAGAGTTAGCGTATAGAAATATGTACATGTATATACAATAATGTTAAGGCAGTCCGATCCTCAGGTTTATAAAATTAGCAGATAAGTAATCGAAATTACACATAAAACTATTAAAAGTTTCTCTGAATCCACAAAGTTATGACAATTTTTCCACTGTATTTCTTTAAAGTTCAAGATTAAAGTTATATATATTGATGTCATATTATATAGGAAAAATTATCAGTAATGCATTTTCTTATTGCAAATTGATCAACAAATATATTTTAGGTTAAAAAAAAAGGTACCCAGACATTCAGAGAAACTGTCATAATTTTTTTACTTATTTGGTATTTTTTGTCTTTTATTTCCGTCTTGTATTCTATAATACATAGCGTAAACAAATGTCAACTTTTATGAGACCTTTTCTAAGACTTCCAAAAATTCATGAATCATAAAGAGGAATAAAATAAAAATTGTTGTATGAAAAAATTTCATTTTCAAGCTTCCTTTTGATGCATCACTGTTGTAGTAAACCCTATTTATTTACTTAATATAAACTTTTTTGCATACTTGACTGTAGTCTGTCCCTAAATTTGTGCCATTTTTTTTTCATTACAGCTCATAAATAAATATAATAATAATACTTAAAAATTTCACTCTGAAAATAAGTTTCACTAGAGCAATGCTTGAAAGAAACCTAAAGATATTCTAGTTACAAATGTACATATACTATACTAAAAGGATTTGTTCAAGAAGCCTTCTTGAACACTTAAACCGTTCAAGGATTTAAGTGTTCAGATATTGTTGGAAGTTCGTGTGTAAAAACAAATTAATCCTATAAAAGCAAGAAATAATAAAAAAGAAGTTTTGTTTTAGACATAATCAACCTAGAATAACAAAGATTTGTATTATATCACAGGTGGTGAAAAAGCAAGTCTGAACCGGGACTCGAACTTAGGGCCTCTGGCGACAGTACTACCGAGCCAGTTTTTTCTCTTTTAAAAAGCGCGCTGTTGATCGATTTTTTCTCCATGATTTCATACTGTTATCTGAGTACCGTGCAAGTGCTGTAACCACTGAGCTATTGCGACCAAATATATTTGACTTTCACGCACCTGTGAACCTGATGACATACATGTACAACGCCATGAAGAAATGTTTTTGGAATATTTTGAAAGATATTTTGGATGATTTTCATGAATTTTCAGACAAATTTGTTCGATGGAATATCTTGAAATATTGCTACGTGCACTACATTTGAAGTATCACGTCGAAAGATTTACACTGTTGAGATCTATGTTGCAAAAATGATAACACTGTGACAAAAACACCTCTTGAGTACTAGTATGTTTCAATTTCTTGATCTCTTGTTTGTCAGTACTTCAAAAATTGTTAAATAGAAACAAGATGTAATATTTTTATTAACTAAAATGCTTCTAATGCATTTGATGTGCACTGTAAACAATTTAAAAACCTGTAAAACTTGAAAAGAAGTATTTAAAAGCAAAAATTAAGCTCAAAAGTTCATCCAAACAATTATTACGCATCAGGAGTAGACCAAACACATTCCTCCGAAACATCAGAGGTGATATTAGGTGCCATGTTTTACATCCCATGCCAACCGGCCAAAATCGACGTGTGCTACCATGTTAGGATAGAAAAACATCGAAAAATCAGTCAACAATTCAATGTGCTAATAATGGTCTTACAATAAGTATGGAAGACGACAGAAAACATTTGACATTAATGCATATTTTAAATGAATAATTCTTCAAAGATTATAAATGATTATATACAGTTTCATTATCTCGATTAACTTGATGCAACAAATTGTAATCCCCATCTGGATCGATATCCAGCGCATGCGCATGATCATATGTTTCATTATCATCGTGACAAGTTATTTTTGGCGCGCCATATTCATTCTCTATCTCAACGGTATGGGCGTAAGTGTCATCGATGATCATCCTTTCGGACTCGTATTGACTTCCTATCGCGTGACTGTAAAGGTCATCCGTTTTTGACGTCATACTATTGTTATCCTGATGGAGGTGGTCGTAATCTTCTTCATCTTCTTTGGTTTCTTTTTTAATCTTGTTATTTCCGGAGTCATACGTTCTGTTAATAATATTTTCGTTCTTTTGATCAAAATTTCCGTTTTCCTTCCTTTGGTCTTTCCTCGGCTTATTTTCTTCCACTGTTTTCTTTTCTGTTGACTTTTTGCTTTGGATAAGAATTCTTTCGCTGTCGTTCATATAAACTACATTTTCCGCAGTGACCTGAGAATTACGTTGTTTTTTGTATTTCGCGGCTTTCCTTCTAAATATACAAAACATACATAGTATGATAAGAAATGTATAATTTCCTTTTTAGTCCACATTCTAATTTCAACGTAGCTTTTTCTGCATATACCTAACTCCTTTTTTATCAAAGGATTGGAATTACTTTCAAAATTAATATGAATTGCTAATTATCAAGTACTAGAAAATGCATTAAATTCTTAATTAAAAAAGCGTTAATACCGTTTGTAATAAACAAGGAGAATAATGATGCTAAGAAAAATAACTACAGCACAAGCTACGAGCACACCAACTAGTGTATCTACAAAAAATAATAAGCATGGTTAAGCAAGTTACGCAATATTGAAAAAATGTGTTATACATATTTACATTTGTACAATTGTTCAATTATATTACACAAGTATACCCTAATACGATTGTCCAGAGTGACCCCGGATTATTTTCTACCTGTATATAAATTTCATAGCGTAAGCAATCAAAGAAAATATAAGTTTTGAAACTTACCACTGGAGGAAGTTACAGGTATAGGATAATGAATAATCTCGTTCACCACTACAAAAAATTCATTTGATGTATTTAAATCTAGAAAAAAAGAATGATTTGGCTAATTAATTCCTATTATAGACGTTAATGGTAATCTAACAACAAAGCTTTATGATTAAAGTGGTGACCTTATCTTTTTAATCCTTAACTTTCCTTACTTATGCAACAAAATACCCCTATGACTTGTACGATTTATGGGGTTCCAAGCGTATGCTCTACGTATGAGAAAAATTCTACTTTATAAGTTCTATGGGCGATTAAATAACCTTTTCAGTAAATACAATTTGCCATTAAGTAAAATGCTGACTGGCGTTTTTCATACTTATTGATAGGCCATTATGTACTTATTGAATTGACGACAGATTTTCCCGTTATTTCTCGATCATGACAAGAAGCACATGGTGGGTATGACCGGTTGGTAGGGGATGCTCAATCTTACTTGGCAGGCACCTGATCCCACCTCTGATGTTTTAGAGGTCCGTGTTTTCTGAGCACCTGATTTGATTTGTATTGTTTTATGGATTTTTGCGCTTGGATACTGTTCGGTATCTTCAAATATATCATTCCACAGTTTTCATAATTGATAATTTTGCAATCAGTATTATGATATGTCATACACACTTCTGTTTAAAAATATAAATTATTCGCTTTCATTTAACGAATAATGATACATTAAAATGATTGATTGATTGATTGTATATTGTTTAACGTCCCTCTCGAGAATTTTTCACTCATATGGAGACGCCACCACTTGCCAGTGGAGAGCTGCAAATTTTGTCCTATACTCAGCACTCAAGGCCATTGAGCAGGGAGGGATCTTTTTCGTGCCAGCACCTACTGCGACACGGGACCTCGGTTTATACGGTCTCATCCGAAAGACCGATCTCCACGTCCCACGGTGGGATTCGAACCCACGACGTAAGGATTGACTCCTTTACTTCGCGACCGTAGAGCAGACGCTCTTACCACTGCGCCACGCGGGCTACATTAAAATGAAAGTGAAAGTCCTGAAGGTACTTACAAGAACTTCTTTCACAAACAAATGGTCTTTTAGATGTTAAATTAAACGGCTCCCACACATATTCATAATTCTCACAGAGATTCCTGTACACCTTCACTTTAGTCGGATGTTTCTCCAACTCTAAATTCAAGATAAAATGCTCCATATAGCATGTATAATTTGCTGTAACGTGAAAGCTCGTTTATTAGTGTTTCTACAATGCAACACTGGATTATATTTTTGTAAGGCATAAATGTCTAAATGTATTTTTTGTAGTGCTTGTTGTCAAAAATAGACAAGGTCCAGAATAAATGTTGTCATGAATACAATAACGCATATGCTTTACTAACATATTCTGCGTTTTTTTTGAAATTGAACTTATCCTTAATAATGATATGTAAAAACGTTGACCGTTAATCTTAATTTTAATCTCTTTGCCCCGATTGATAAAATATAAAGAATTTCGTATAAGCAGAACAAGAGTGCTTTGAATTTTTCTATTCAATTTAGACAGATTCGTCTTCCATTTGTTTTCTTAAATTACAATACTGGATTCCTAACATAATTGATTTTGTAAATATGAATTCATGAAATATATTCATTTATTTGTAGATAATTTCTTGTTTGAATGTACTTTTGATACAAGAAGCATATTTTATAAGCCTTAGTCTGGATTAAACAGTAATTCTTATATGAAACACTGCCTAAATCTGCTTTCCTGTTAATAAATTATATTAATTTTGACCCTGAATATAACGCCCTTTCCTAAAAAAATAAATTTTAATTGTTTCTGAAACTAAATTACATTATTATGAAAAAAAAAAACAGCATTATTTATATTTTTTCAACAAATAATTTGCTTCTCATTTAAGAAAAAAGAGAGGTTCCAAACTTTGCCATTGAAAAATGAAAATTATCGATAGTAATGTAATTCTATATCAACACGTTAGTCTTAACGAACAGCTCACCTTTTGTGGCTGTCCCTCTTATATGTGGTCTTACAATCCCCGTCCATCTCTCAGAATCAAAGGCGAGACACGGTAGATTTGATAATTGTTGATGATTGATGGTGTAGCTGCCCAAATTGTCTTTGCACATTTCATTCTGATTCATCCAATTAGATTTTATGTCTACACGATAAAATAGATTTTATGTCTACATAATAAAATAATTTGATTAATAACTGTTAATTAATTGATATAATTATAATTATCTATAATATTATATATAATTATAATCTTACATTTTTGTGATTATTCTTGAAAAATTAATCTTTCCACAAATAGATACATTTTACTTGAAGTTTCAAACGTTGCAAATAATAGCCTTTTCCAAATGTATTATGTATTTCTATTATTTCCCTTTGCAATAGCCTTAAAAGCTTGGACACACTTGCGTTACATTATGCGATCCTCTTTTAACTAACCTTTTTAAGGAATTGCCCACTTGCAAAGACAATAAAAGGGGAAATATAAAAAAAAAATGCCATACATAGAGTATTCAACTTAAATATCAAAATGCATTGTAGAGAATTTGAAATTATAGAATACAAATAGTAAATATGCATCTTAAAATAAAAAAATAGGAAGTACTATTTGTCTACATATATTTTTCGGAAATGAAAAAAAGAAATTTTATGACACACATTGTTACAACTACTACGGAATATGGGTCAAATATTGCAAAGTTTACATGCCGCATGCAAGGAGCAAGTAAACATAAGCAATTACAATATGTTTTAAATAATAAATCATTTAGGTCTATAAGACTGTAGAATATTTGGAGAAAAATAATATTGAATCCTTTCTAAGCGAAGATCCCTGCACATGAATTTAGCATCGAAAAGTAAGGTTGTCGTGGATGGAGGAAAGTGTAATTACCCTTTTCTGAGGAATATGAAGATTTCAAACGTTCATCAAGCTCTTCAAACAATTTGAACAAAACTCAGTGCAAATACAGTACAGATCATTAAAAGCAAAAGAGGCAAATCAGTTGACATGTAAGGATATGAATCCCCTATCGACACGACACGCTGTGCTCTTTGTTATAATCAAACAAACAGAAAAATCCGTAGACAGTTCACTGTAAAAATAAAAGTCTAACTATTTGTATAAAGAAACATCAGTCATCATTCAACTTTTCGACAGATCACACTTACTTATAAGAGCATTGTATCAACTTTAGAAAAACTTTACGATTGATTGATTGATCGTATACTTTTAACGCCCCTCTCCAAAATATTTCACCGATATGGAGACGTCACCATTGCCGGTGAAGGGCTGCAAATTTAGGCCTATGCTCGGCACTTACGGCCTTTGAGCAGGGAGGGATCTTTATCGTGCCACACCTGGTATGCCTCGGTTTATACGGTCTCATCCGAAGGACCGCCCCATTTAGTCGCCTTTTACGACAAGCAAGGGGGTACTGAGGACTTATTCTAACCCGGATCCCCAAGGGGCCGGGGAAATGTACAAGAAACATCTTAAAAAGTTAAAAACATCTGCATAAAAATTAACAAGAGGTACTGTTAGCAATGAGCTCACTAAATAATCCGTCCGCTTCTCATATAAATATAATGGCAGTATCGATGTTTTGCTAAATGGGAAACCTAAATATGTGTCGGATCAAAAAGTAAAATAGGTGGTCACAATGGCATTATGTAATAAAGATTCTCTAAAAGTCTCATCAAATTTCATTGAAATTATTGAAGGTATAAGAGGAGTTGCAGATAAGAGATAGGTATCCCAAAGCGTAACAGACGGATGTACAGAAAGATGGACATCCCGATTACTATATACCCTCCCCGCTTTTCAAGAGGGGGGGGGGTTATAAAAATAAATACAATTTCATGACAAAAGATTGTATGTTTGAATTAATAAATACTACTTATCTTTTTATGCATTTCAAGAATTTGTTGTTAAAAATTTTTCAGAATACCTGGTCGGTTAATTTTTATCCTGATATCATCTATGGCAATATCTCCCAGAACCCCTTTCTTTCTACTTGCTGATAATTGAATCTGAAAATGAAGATACTATCAAACAAATCAGACGAATTTTTAATTAATATTTCATATAAGACAAGAAGTAAATTGTTTCGAATATGTATTATTATATATATATATGAAATACTTTTTAAAAAGGGCTTATTATGCTTTGTTTTTGTTTTAGTTAAAAACTAAGGTACTGTGAGCAATGTGCTCACTTAATGATACCCCCGCCTCCAATATGATTAAAATGACAAAGTCCCCGCTTTGCTCTTGGGTACCCGTTATTAGTGTCAGATCAAAAAGTAAAATAAGAGGTGTACAACGGCATTATGCAATAAAAAATCTGCGAAAGTATCACTAATTTTCATTCAGTGCTATGAGAGGAGTTGCGGATAAGAGAAAGGTACTCCAAAGCGTAACAGACAGACGGACGGACGGACGTAAGATGGACGAATGGACGTAAAGACAGACGGACGGACATAATGATTACTATATACCCTCCCGCTTTTCAAGCAGGGGTATAATAAAGATTCTGTGTAAGTTTTATCAAATTTCATTCAGTGATATGAGAGGAGTTGCGGATAAGATATAGGTACCCAGACGAACGGACAGACGGACATCACGATTACTATATGTGTAAACCCTCTCTCTTTTCAGGCTGAGGATATAAATGACACGATATATGGGGCGCAGATGCTTAAAGGTCATCAAAATGAACTAATGCAGATAATTTTAAGTTTATCTTAATTCACCCAATGTAGTCTAAAACTAGAGGTATTGTGAGCAATGACCTCACTAAATGATACCCCGCCTCATATATGCTTATAATGGCAAAGTCCATGTTTTGCTGTGGCCAGGAAACCCAAAAATGTGTCGAATCAAAAAGTAAAATAGAAGGTGCACAATGACAGTATGTAATAAAGATTCTGTGAAAGTTTCATTAGATTTCACTCAGTGGTATAATAGGAGTTGTGGATAAGAGATGGGTACCCCAAAGCTTAACAGACAGACGGACGGACATACAGACAGCTGGACGTACAGACAAACGGACGGACATACCGATTACTATATACCCTCTCGCTTCTCAAGCGGGGGTATACCTTATCGACATTAATGAATTATTTATACTTTAAATTATATAGTTATATGCATTTTATAAAAAGCAAACCTAGACAATTCAAATTTCATAAATCACAAACAATTACATTTTATGTATATGTTGAAATCATTTGAAAAGGGGCCGATGGTTTTTGCCATCCTAGAATTGATGCACTTTTGCTAAGGATATAATTATGTAGGTTGAGTTTTTTCCAAACTGTATTACCCTTGAATTTCCTTCTATATATGTTGTATTTTTGAATATTTTCCAGTCTTTTCCTTGGTTCCTCCTTCTGCTGAAAATCTCCCTTTTTTCATTTTCAATTTCTAGGTAAACTTTCAATTTGTTTATGTCTCTACCATTCATATTGTACTGCATACTAAAAGTAATATTGACATCTGAAATGTTAAAATAAATAAATAAAACAAATATTATGTGCATACTATGAAGGAAAGAAAACATCGTGATAGTAAATTACAATTCTATTTAGATGATAAATCCCAGTTTGGATTATACAATCTTCTACTTTCATGTGGTGTTATAACATACTGTATTTGAATTAAAGTAGCAATAGTTATTACTACAGAATTAATGATTAACAGAAGTTATGTTTAATCCCCTGCAAATAAAATGTTATTTGCTATTTATCAGTGTTTATTTCAACAGTTTCAAAAATGAAGTCACATAACCCTTGGATTTCATGAATTAAGAATAATTATATATTTATAGAAATGTGAGCAATTGCTTTTTTAAAAACAAAAGTCAGTCATATTTAATTTTTAATTGATTTCATCACTCAGGGATATGTAGTCCTCTTCAATGTTAAAAATGTTATTGATTCTTAGATACAATAGATATAATGTATCCTTAATTTTGTCATGAAAGAGATCACATTTTCGATATTGTTATCCAAATCCATTTAGATTTTTATTAGGAAAAAGTTAAGAGCCACATAAGTCAGAAGTTTGAGACATAAGACCATAATGATGCAATTTAATTTTGGTGTATGTCTGCACCTGTCATGTTAAATTTGGAAATGAGAACGCCATTTTGGTTGTTCTGATTGTTGCTGAGACTTGTATTAATGAAGCTGAAATAGTTTCCTTCTATATTTTCACTTGGTCCTGTCTTTTGGCCATTGGATCGTGTTCGTCCATTCTATGCATAAAAAAAATAATTTAAAAAAATCAAAGTTGGATTTGAACTGTCAGTAGATTTTATGAATTGTTTCTCTCATCATTCTGTTCTTTCAATTCAAGGTAAATTACAATGTCTAAAAAGATCACAGTAAAAAAAAAAATCAGCGCCAATCATCATAATTATCATAAATCATTTTACTTTAAGTGATATTTGAATATATTGAATAGCATTTCTTTCAATGTCTCGGAAATTTAGAACAAAGATAAAATCAATTTTGACCAGGTGAGTGTTTTCTTTAACATTTGTCCTTAAATTCCCTTTTAATGCAAAAATAAATGACTCGTTATTAAATGCGTAATACCCGTGTAATCATCCAATCGAAATTGTCATCTTTGCTTTGAATAAAACAAATATCTTTGTTTCCTTCAAAGTCACACTTTATCTCCCCTGACATAAGCAGAACCTTTGTAAACGTATGCTCTGAAAACGGGGAAAGAAAATGATGATTTGAATAATAATTATTTGAAGTTTTGTCTCATACTGAAACTTGAAGGCATCTGAAAGTTCCTGCCAGATGAAATGTTGATTTCGCAAACAAAGTAAGTTAGTCACAGTAAAACATGATATCATTATTTTTGAATGCTTAAATTTTTAATTATTTCATTTTTTATCAAGCTAAATATTATATTAAATTCATAAAAGTATATTGTAAATAACAAATTTAATTTCTTTTCTTAATATTGGCAATCCTAGCTACTATTGAAAGCTTAATATACAAATTTTATCAACAATAAAATTTTATAAAAGTTTCACAAAAGTCTTCATATTAAAAGTTAAAAGAAAGTACCACATTTTCCTTTTGTGAGTGTAATGTCATCTATAGCAATGATTGATTCCGTTTTACCTCGAATAAACTGAAAGAAAATCTGAAAAGAATAGGAAGTTAAATTATTCTATCAAGTAAAGCAAATAACAGTATGGTGGCATATTTCTGCCCCCTACATGCCAAATAAAGGTTAACATACAACATAATTTTGTTGACATTCAAGTTACCAATCTTATAGATTAACTCGCTAACGCTCGTATCTGCAACATATTTTTGTAGACATCCGACTTATTTATGTCAACATGCATGTTAATTATGAAGACATGCGGCTTATACATATATGTTTATGTCAACATGCAAGATAATCATGTAGACATGCAACAATATTAATGTCAAGGTGCAAGATAATTCTGTCAATAGAATTAGACACATCTTGTAGAATTACTGAATAAAATATTAAACATGGGATGGAATCTTAAACACGGAAGAAAATTGCGAAAATTTATGAATTGCATCCAAAATCCACATTACATATTTTAATTATCTTCGCCTATTTCAATTGCAAAGTTTTTTTTTTTTAATTTTAACCTTGTCATACATTTTTTGCTGAGACTTTCTTTTAAATTTTAGTATTTTTTCTTCTTTCAGTATATGTAGATTAAGATTTTAAACCCTCTTCCTAGCTAGGAAATCCCAGAAAAAGAGAAAAATATAAAGATTGAGATCTGGCAAATGCAGGGGCCATTTTTTTTTCTTTGGGATGTTGCATTATTGAGAATTTATATGCTGATATTTTCATTCAATATTTCAAATTCACATGTGTTTTGTAAATGCCGATATTACCAGCATCAATTGCATATTTCCGACGTTTTTCTGAGGAGTCAGCTAGAATTTCTAAAGGTTCGAGCTTACTTCAAGAATATGTTTTTTCCTTCTTGAAGTTCTTTATAATTTTTTTAATTATCGGTAATTTATTACATTTTGCCCTTCCTTGATCCTTAACTTTGTTACAGTAGATTCCTAATTATACGCGAGGAATTGATTATCCAGTAATTTCGCAAGAAGTACCACTCACGAAATAAAATATCGCGCTTTTATTTTTAAGGTGCTAAAATACATGTAAATTCTCTCCATCAACCGTTTAATCGCGAATTATTATTCTCGCCATATGCTATTAAATAGCCATTTCGCATTTAAAAAAAAGTATTCGCGAAAAATAAGGAATCTACAGTACTAGCCTTACAAGCATCGTGATAGTTTCCTTTGTTTTGGAATATTTACAATCTGAAACTTTTGAATAATTACTGTAGATTTGTATTTAAAATAGATAGATTAAAAATTTTACAATTAAGATTAATATTGCTAAGTAACGAGGGGTTATCAAAAAAGTTCGCGGACTGAGGCTATAAAACTAGTACTGAGCTTACAAATTTTTGAAGGAACATACATGTAAATCAACAACAAAGAAAAGAAATGTTGAAAATTTTAGCTTGATACGTTCATTATTTCTCAAATTATTATATAATAAAATTCACATTTGACATCCTACAACGTCATTGTCTTTCAATGTCTGCTTCTTCTACTTCATACACTTGTTTTAATGAGATTTCCTGGAGCTGAGTAAGAACTTCAATCCATCTTGTTTTTATGACTTTACAATGTCATGAACAGCGGCCTTCAATGCATATAATATGGATTTATACTATGGGAGAGATCCTCGCTTGATTGTGCCAGCAGACTTTGCATTTTGGAGTTCAATGTCTACAACACATGACCGACGCCATTTTTGACGTGATTGATTTTTTACACTTTGACTACAAATCGACTTTAACTGTGCATTCCTTTTCTCTCTGAATCTATTTTAGCATTAAAAAACAAGTACTCTTGATGCATATTATTTCTCCGTAGCCAGTTTAAACATTTCCTAGGTCTAAACTATTTTTTTTCAAGGGCAAAGGATTTTAGAATGTTGGAAAAGGAACCCCTTTTCAGTGGCAAAGGATTTTAGAATGTTGGAAAAGGAACCCCTACCCCTTTTTGACGTCATTTTCAAGCAATATCTGTTTGGACACTCCATGTAAAATTTACGATAAAATTTCATGGAACTTCCCCAATGAATAACGGTTGCATATTTTATGGTACAATAGCGTCCCAACGCATACCTGAATTAACGGGATTTTGGATGTCAAATGTTCATATCAAAATAGTTTTTTCTCAGTTACACTTAGGTCAAAAAAACGTCGTTTTCGAGGTTTGCGCCGCCTGGACGTACTTTTTCTTACAAAAACATGACTAATTTATTAAAAAATGAAATACATGATTTGTGGTTTATTCTGTAGATAGAAAAGATGATGCTAACTAGATATTTCAATATTCATTGATTTACCTAATACAGCATTATTATAAATAATAGCCTTTATGTAATCTATGATGTAATGTAGTTCAACTTTCATGTTTGTTTGAGTCTTGTTGTGTTATTAGCTGTCTCCTTGAGAAAAAATTATTATCCAATCGTAATGCTTATTCAAATCACGTGATACAAGATAGCGTCTTTTCACTGATTTAGAAGTGCCAAGAAATTCACAGAATTGTTTTGAGAAATTTACGTCTTCACGAGTGTTTTTATCGTTTTTACGAACTTATTGCATTGACTTTACCAATCGGAAGACTACAAAATAAGAATAGATCAGTGAAAAGTAAGTGATTTGCGGATTTTTTGAGTGTTTTTGTCCAAGGATTAAAAAGGCTCCGTCCAGCCCAACAGTGTTACGCAATGGCAGCCGAACCCGAAGTAAACATTCGAACTGTGTGCATCTTAGGACATTCTTATATCCGCCTTTTTAAAGAATTTATAAATGCAAGTGATCTTAGGACTAATTTGAATTTGGATATGGACTCCTTCAAAGTAGATTTCAGATCATGCGGTGGTTTAACATTCAAACGTCTAGCCCACTGTGTCGAATTTTTACGGTTTGACGCACCCCCCGATATTTGTTTTATACAGATGGGCAGTAATGACTTGAGTCTAAACAATCCTGAAAAAGTGTGTACGGACTTAATTTCTTATGCACAATACTTGCGCGATGGTGTTGGATAAAAATTGTAATTGTTGGACAGTTATTACGCCGTCAGCCATGGGATTCTCGTGACAAGTTCAACGAGGATGTTGTAAAAGTTAACAATCTTTTGAAAGAGGAAACAGGGAAAGTAGATGGTGTGTATTTTTGGCCACAAGGGGTATTTTGGGCGGACCTGTCCTACCTGGGACGAGATGGAGTTCATATTGAGGGTGACTCCAGGCAGTTTGCTTTTGGTGGCAGCTTTTTGTTTTGACAACTTTGTGGTTTATATACTTTTTATTTGTCAAAATATTTTTGCCAAAGTAATGTTTGTTTGCAACAGGGGAGATACCGTTGCCAAATGTATTGTTCTTTGTACTCAGGAAATATCCCGGTGATCTCCCCTTCACTTTATCTGTGTTCTATGATTATTGTCATTTAAGAAATGACAATTCTCACTCAGTATACATTGTTTGTTATATTTCATCTATTGCGGTAGTCTAGCCAGATCACTAGGGTTACATAAAGCAGTTTATATTTTATGGCGCTAGTCCACGAACTTTATGATACCCCCTCATAAATGTCCATTTCGAAAAATATTCAAATAATTACATCGGCTATGATGTCACAATTTAACATTATAATGCGTTGATTTGATTTTTCACATGGATTATAAATACAGGATTTGCTATGTAGAATGAAATAGATTTTGTTTTAAAATATGATACGAAAGAAAAATATTGAGATTAAAAAAAGTAATATATATTATATAGTGTACACATGCAAGTATATGTTTGCTTTCCAATATGACTGAAAACTTCTAGGAGGGGCGTTAAACAAGGAAAGATTTATTTAATATTTAGGCACTGTTAGGTTTTTTTGTAATTGAAAGTTTGGAAGCAACAGCTTGGGCATGTCTGTAGGAAAAGCATTATATCATTATACAGTGCTATTCATAGGTATTCAAAGGTACTTGTCATTTTCAATTTGTAAAAAAAAATGTAAAACATTTTTAAAAACACAGTACTTTTTTTAATGTGAATTCTGTCCAATGAAGATACATGTAATTCTACTTACAATATCGTTCTTTTGAAGCAGGATATCTATTTCGGAATATTTCCATTCTGTATATTGTCCGGCAGACAATGTTTGATTGTACAATTCTAGTATTTTATTTAAGTCAGAGTTCTTGATGTATACGTGAAAACGTCCACCAGCAGAAATATTCTGAAAAACCCAAACTCGTAGACACCAATCACCGCCGTTGAAGTCTGTAAGTAGAATTTATAATCTGAATTCTGTGACACAAAGGACATTCGATTCTCTAAACAAAACAACAGTAGAAAAAGTAATTTATCGTATACCATTCCTGTGGTGGATATTAGCATTGAATTTTTGCAAATCATTAAAAAGTAATGCTTCAAGCTTATTACTTCTATCAGGAAATACATTTGACACATATTTATACAGCTGTATGTTGCATATATTAAGAAAAAAATTTGCCGAACCTCGTTTTGTTATAAATACATTTTCTATATGTACACAGAAACTAGGCACGAGCCTGGTTGTTTACATTATGAAGAATTTTAAGTTCTGTATCTCCTTTGTACATTACCAATTGGTGTTCAAAATATTCATTTGGATTGCCTTAATTAAGAATTGTAAACATTAAAATTGTTTTTTTTAAAAACAATCGGTTAAAACTGTATCCATGTCCCTTTAAAATCTGGAAAATGTGCAATAGACCATCTGTTTCCTTGAGGTTAATGCAGACTTTTTAAAGTTTCACCTATAGAGGTGAAGTTAAATTATGCTTACCTCTGATTAAAATCATCCCTAAATATTTATCTATAGATTCAATATTTACCAGGAAAGTCTATATTTGACCTAAGAGTTGCTCGATCTCCTGGTCTATCGTCACTGCTGTCGTTTACAAAGGCAAAATTCGATCCTTGATAAGCTTTTTTTGCTCCAGCGAGGGCGTTTCCCTGAAGACATGATTAACATTTTTATAATACTTGTGCCTTGATAATGCCTGTTTTTTTAAGCGTTTTTTTCATAAATTATGTGCTGTCAACTGTCAAAGAAGAAAAAAATTCTTTAGACTCGGATAGTAATGGCTATTAACGATAAAGAACTATATGCGGTATATTGCATATACTTGCCCCCACAAAAGTTACATTTTGAAAACTTCATGAAATGTGCTGAATTCAATAAATTGTATGAGAAATATAAATTAACAGAACATATTATAGTTTCAAAACAGTTCATTCACAATTTTTGTTTTTATGACGTCACAAACTAGTCCAATTTTAAATGGACAAAATGGACAAAATTTCAACAGTTTTAGCTTTTAAATTTATAGAGCGCATGTTTGTTCAGGATTTATATTTACATATTTCATTGATACTATCATTCAACACATTATATCAAAATATTGATCCTGAACACACATGCGCTCGATGACTTTTACTCAAGATATCGACGAAATATGTACATTTTTCTATAGAATTCATTAAAAACTGAAATTTACGTCATGTTTGTGACGTCATTACGTACATATGGTGTCATTACTTATGAAAATATTCAGTGCTTTGAAGTCAGCATATACTCTCCTGTTTAAGAACTTAATTAAATATACCTCCATCAAAGTTTGATTTGGGGGGCAAATATTGGTTATTACCGAATAAAGTTCTTTGAATTTTCTTTATAATTTTGAATATGTATATAGATGATATGATTTGTGCAAGAGAGCAAACAAGATTTAAAGTTAAAGACAAAAAATGGCGAGAGAATCTGTCTGCATACGCTAATTATCCAATCAAGGTTGTCGTTTTTCACTTGAGAGAGAAAACAGGAATCTCCAGATTCAAATGTGCAGGAGAAAAAAGTACCTAAAAGAAATGAACGTAAATAGGATTAAACTTCATTTGATACAGTATAATTTATTCACTATAGTGTACATTTTACTCACTACAAGCTGCTCCACTGACTTCTTCAGAGTTACAATCCACGTCTTTGTAGAGATACCGGTATTCGTTAGTTAGAGGTAAACACTGATACGAGAGACATGAGTTATCAAAATCTGGGTTAGTTAGATGTTGTCTCATACCAAAGAAATCTTCTCCAACTGTAATGTCAAAATTATGGCATTTCATTTCATGATATATTTTGAAGATTGAAAAAACTTTTCATTCAAACTGTTATGTGCAAAGAACAGAAAATATTCATAAAAATAGCTAAAGTACATCAAGTATGTAGGAAAAGTACTTTACCGACGGAGTATATATTCATGGAATCTTTCCCTCCACAGAAAAATATACCATCGCATGTAATATTACATGCATTGGCATCCTCGGTTTCCATAAAACTGAAATTGTCTTCTAAACAAGCACACCACCTATTCTACAATCCAGAGAGACGTTAAACTATGTTTTTACTTTTAACTTTTAAAAAGCAACATTCTGCAAATTCAGATAAAAAAATTTGTTCGACGTTTAATGACAGCACTGTATTTATACTTACCATGATAGCGAATGCAGATGAATTGGAGCACATATCTTGACAATCCAGTATAGAAGGTCTCATTAAACTTGAAAAGTTAAGTCTTGTATTTCTGAAGCAACCTTTGAATAATGGTGATATAAAAGGTGGTTCATTGAGATATGATGAAATAGCAACAATTTGTAAAATGTTGTATTTAGATAATCCCTTATCTTATAAAAGATTTATTTAACATTAATAGATTTATTGAACCTCATTGCACCATAACTGAATTTTGACAGCATTGTCTTTGTTTATGCAATACTTGCTCAAATCAAGTGATAAATACTTTACTCAAATGTTTTGTTTCAAATTAAGCAGTACGATGCTATATGTCTCACCCATTATGGATAAGTAGGAGGTTGCATATAGAAAGGAACTTGTCCATAATTCTTTACTGCTTTGGTTACATGTCTCTATAGATGCAATGTCTTCGTTGTTCAAGGCTGACAATACCGAATTATTTCGTTCACAGAAGTCAAGTGCATCACTCCATGTCATTTCCTTTTCAACATAGATATACTCCTTCTCTAAACACGTTAAATAACGAAAAATATATATTTCTTGAATAGAAAGGAGTATATATGATAAGAGCCAATTTTGGCCCCCTAAAAATCAACATTATAGAATGACATTCAGATATGTTTAATTGATATTTATTTTGTAGAAGAGATTATGTTAGAAATATTTCCAATATATTTTTCACATTTATATGCACTCTCTTTCTGTAAATGACATTAGAAATAATGCTATTTTTGCTATCTAGCAAAAAAGCCAAAAATATGCCTTTTTCTTGATGTTTTTTCTTATGGGAAACATAGAGCGCAGTATAGAACATGCATAATTTATCTGTCACTAATTAGTGTTGGGTATATACATCTTTGGTAAAAATATAAATCTTGTTCAAGGCTGCGCTCTATATTTTCTGGAAGAAAAACTGCTTGAAAATAAGCAGTTTTATAGAAAATTTGCTAAAATGGCGCGAAAACGTGATTTTTAAGATGTCATATTTCTAAAATAACGGCATTTTGATCAAAATGAAAATGACCAATAAACGTCGCATATATAGCTGTACAAATTAAAGCTAGATATAAAGTAAAATAAAGATATTAATTTTAAGGGGCCAATTGAGACCATTACCATATATCGCTCTTTATATACGGAAAAATAATTTGTATCAAACTATGTTTTTCAAATAGTTCATTCAAAGAACACAACAATTTCATGAGAAAAAAGGTTTTGTTTTTCTTTTTTTTTTTTTTTTTTATAAATATTAAGAAATCTTCATAAATAAATTCCAAAATAAGAAGGGAGTTTTTGTTATACAATGACCCATATGGGGAAGATACAACTATTATCCAACATAAATGTAAAATAAAATTAAGCTTATTTATTGATAAAGTAAAGGTTTTCAAAAAGTATACACATATATACATATATATTGATACATGGATTCTACAAAATCTTGTTAAGGTCTTCCGTCTTCACGGAAGACCTTATAGTGATTCTACTGTTTCTTATTAAGGTCTTCCGTCTTCACGGAAGACCTTATAGTGATTCTATTGTTTCTTATTATTATTATTATTATTCTTATTATTATTCTTTTTTTTGACAAAATTTTGTGCAGGCGATTTCTCGAGAACTATTCAGCGGTTTTCAACGAAACTTTCACAGAATATGTGTTATAATATGAAGTTGTTACTTTTTAAGGAAAATTTGGAAAATACGATTCCGGTTCCAAGTTATGGACAATTTCCTGATTTTAAAATGCAATTTTGTCGCCCCTTTTTATCGAAAATGGCTGAGTATATGAACTGGAGACTAATTGGAGATGATAGATCATGACTTTGTGGTTTGCAGAATCGTCTTTTTGTGCGTCGTCAGTACTTCCGGTTTGTACCGGAAGGGTATTTAAAAAATGCAATTTTCCAACTTTTTTGTTATTCAATATTTTTTTGTGATGTTAATAATTTAAATAGAGACTCATTTGCGAATGCGTTATATGTAATTTGTTTTAGAATCGAAAAAGCCAATCTCGAGATATTTGCATTTAAAAATTTGAAGCGGTGTTTTCAATGGCTGAATGGTTAACGCGTTGGATTGTCACGAGAGCGACCCGGGTTCGCTCCCCCGAATGTCCGATTTTTTTATCACTTTTTCTGCTAGATTTTTTGCATTTTATTTCAGAATGGGACGGAAGACCTCTCGTTGCTCGCAACGAGATCGTTCTAGTATTCTTACTATTTTCGTATTGACCAACTTTTGGAAATGACCTTTGTCCGGTCCATTTCTCCAGAACAGCTAAAGATATGAAAGTTTACTGTGTCAGATATCATAGATCTGGACTTGAAGATGTGTCGAACAACATTTTTTCCGTCGTCAATTCTTCCGGTCGTCACAGAAAAGGGGATTAAAAGTCGATTTTTTAAATTTCTTTGTCTTTCTTTCTATCTTTTTCTGTGATATTCATGGCATAAGTAAAGACCCCTATTTGCTGATTTTACGTATAACCAGTTTCTTGATTTGATAAAGAAGGAATTAAATATCTTTGAATGTCTAAGAACTTTTGCAAACGTAGGTTCAACGTTTCCTTAAACACTAAAAAATATTAATTTTTTTTTCTCATAAATAGACTTCGCGGGGGGAAAACCCATTGTGCAATACCCAAGTGTCCAGGTAAAGTCTTTGACGCCGCGATGGCGAAAGGACCGGTAGAAAAACTTCCATGGTTCAATTGAGACGAGATTTTAGTAAATAAAGTGTGTATATTATATATATCATATGTGTTCATCTTATCCCCCCTCCCCCTATTTCGTTTTTGTGAACTGTAAAAGACCTATCTCCCACCTTTCTCGCACATTGAAATAAATGCCAATTCGGCTTTAATTTTTTACATTCTACATAAACTGACCTTGACATTTACATAACAAGACACTCTTCTTAAAGTAAAGAAAATGATAAGGCTTAATTCTTTTAACAAAATAATGGTAATTTACAGGTCTATATTCAAGACCCCCCCCCCCCTTCCCGGAAGCGTGCAGAAAGGTAGACTTCGCAGATGTAACACCTACAACGTACAAGTAACGTTTTAAAAGTTTCATTCATAAAAATTAGTTCCCCTGATGTCATCTAATAAGGTGCCATCATTCATTCTTCCTATGTTTTGTTTGTAGAATTTATAATTATTTAATTTATTTTTTTTATCTTGAGAAAATAAAGATTTTCAGCTGCATTTATTAGCATTTCGCGTTTTCTTGTATATATCTATTACTTGCAAATGAATAATGTCATTAAATAATACAGAATAAATCAAACTTTATTTCCATCTTTTTTATTCATTCATAAATCCTTAGATCCACTCCAATAGTTGCGCGATGCCCTCACCGCTACTGTAAACAAAACATTCATAACGCCGAAAATGTCCATGATTCCGCTGAACTAAGAAAGTTTACACGTGATTTATCATCTCACAACTAACATCAGATCTATCTAATACAGGATTGCTCGAGTTAAAGAGGAAAATTCAGGGATTATTTTGCGTCATCCATGTTTTGCCGTGAACCTATGCGACATTTTGTAATTAAGGTCTTCCGTCTCCAACGGAAGACCTTCTTGTTATTCTTCGGTTTCTTTTTCCCTATTATTATTAAGGTCTTCCGTCTTCACGGAAGACCTTCTAGTGATTCTACTGTTTCTTATTATTATTATTATTATTTTTTTTTTCCCCAAAATTTTGTGCACGCGATTTCTCGAAAACTATTCAGTGGTTTTCAATGAAACTTTCAGGAATTATGCGTCATTATATGAAGTTGTGGCATGACAAGGAAAATTTGGAATACTCACCTTTGGTTCCAAGTTATTGACACTTTTCTGATTTTAAAATGCAATTTTGTCCCCTTTTTTTCGAAAATGGTTTAAGATATTAACTGGAGACTTGTAAGAGATGAAAGATGATGACTTTAAGGTATGACGAATCACATTTTCGTGTGTCGTCGGTACTTCCGGTTGCTACCGGAAGCAAATTTAAAAAATTTGTATTTTCTAACTTTTTTGTTTTTCAATATTTTTCATTTATTTTTGGAATGTTAATAGAAACCTTTCTTATAATGCTTACTATATAATTTGTTTGAACATTGATAAATCCAAACTCTAGATATTAACATTTAAAAATCTGAAGCGGGTCCAATATGGCGGCTGTCTATGTCAATTCCGACATTTTGCAATAGGGGTTTTCAGAGGCAGCCAAGCGTTTGCTTGAACGAAAGTAAATAAGGATAACTGAAATGTAAAGGAATACGGGGATTGTCACGAAGTAGTTACGTTGCAATTCTGTATCAAACTAAGTTTAAATCCATGGTCGTCTCAAACGTCTTCTATAATTGGTTTTCGCTGGTTCTCAAAGAAGAAAAAAAAGACTTAATGTGCAAATGAAATACATACCTACTATCATTTGTTTTGCGGAAAAACCGATCTTAAATAATAGTTACAAATAATAGTTCTTAAGAAACAATATGGATGTATATACATGTAGTAAAGTATTAAACGTATCCACTGTTTTGCTCATGCACACTTGAGTCATATTAAACCAATTGGAAAGACAAACATAAGAAAATCATTTTTTAGAGGAATTGAGTTTATATTAATATTCTTGTCTCAAAGATATGATTTAAGTTATTGAACACAAATGGTATCTGACTCCTTGACCGTCTTAGGGCGACACATGTTTTTCGGCGAAACATTTCAACCTTCTCATGAAAGTTTAACTAATCGGGATAGTTCAGTATGGGGATAAACAAAAAAAATTTTAAAAGTAAAAATTTATAGCAGTTTCGCTGATTTAGTGTTACTTATCTATTTACGTCATAGAATTTGTAAATGTGTTAAAAACAATTTCTTAAGATATAAGAACGTTCTTTTTTTATTTCCGTTGAAACTATCACACCTATTTAATGGGAAATTCCAAAAAAAAAAGGTTCGAAGATTTACTCGTGGCGTTTGACGCAAAATTATGAATAGTGACCCGCCTTTCATTATTCTAAGATAGATGTACTGTTTCAGAAGTATATACAAGTAGATTTAGAGCTGTGGTCCCAATAGCGTAATAGTAAGCGCTTTGGATTTCCATGCTGGCGACCCGGGTTCAATCTCCTTTAATTGTTTCCATAAAAAGTTTTATCACTTCTCGATTCTGAGGTTGTTTTTTTTTCAGAATCGGACGGAAGACCTCTCGTTGCTCGCAACGAGTTTCTTTTCTAGTTATTCTTATTATTCTTTTTTTTTGACAAAATTTTGTGCAGGCGATTTCTCGAAAACTATTGAGCGGTTTTTCATGAAACTTTCACAAAATATGTGTCATTATATGAAGTTGTTACATCCGAAGAGAAATTTGGAAAATTCGCTTCTGGTGCCAAGTTATGGACAATTTCCTGATTTTAAAATGCGATTTTGTCGCCCCTTTTTATCGAAAATGGCTAAGTATATGATATGGAGACTTATTGGAGATGATAGATCATAGCTTTGTGGTTTGCAGAATCACCTTTTTGTGCGTCGTCAGTACTTCCGGTCGTAGCGAGATGCAAATTTAAAAAATACGTATTTTCTAAGTTTTTTGTTTTTCAGTATTTTTCATTTATTTTCGGTATGTTAAAAGAAACCCTTCTAATAATGCTTACTATATAATTTGTTTGAATATTGATAAATCTAAACTCTAGATATTAGCATTCAAAAATCTGAAGCGGGTCCAAAATGGCGGCTGTCTCTGTCAACGCCGACATTTCGCAATAGGTGTTTACAGAGGCAGCCGAGCGTTTGTTTGAACGAAAGTAACATAAGAATAAATGAAATGCAAATGAATACTTGGATTATCACGTCGTATTAACGTTGCAGTTCTGTGTCAAACTAACGTCTTCTATAATTGGTTTTGGCTGGTTTTCAAAGTAGAAAAAGAAAAGACTAAATGTGCAATGAAATTCGATACCTAATATCTCTTGTGCATCGCCGAAAAACAGATCTTAAATCATACTTATAAGTAATACTTTCTCAAAAAAGAATATCAATTAATTTTGAAGTATAAATATTAACCACTGTATTTCCTAAGCACACTTGTGTCATATTAAACTAACAAATTAGACAAAAATAAGAAAACGATTTTTTTAAAGATCGCTTCATGGAGTTTATTTTAGCATTCTTGTCTCAAAGACCTGATTCAAGTTATTGAGCATAAATGATATCGGATTCCTGACCGTCGTAGGCGAGCCATGCTTTCCGGCGAAACTTTTCAACCTTTTTCGATTAACTATTCGGGATAGTTTACTTTGAGGATAAACAGGAAATTGAAAAAAAAATTCATATCCGTTTCACCGCTTTAGTGTTACATGCATATATACAATATGGAAATTGAAAAATGTGTTAAACATACTTTCTAAACTTCGAATCTTAGGCTATAAGAACGTTCTTTTTTTTCTTTATTTCATTGAAGCTATCACACCTATTTGATAGAACATTCCAAAGAAAAGGGGCGAAGGTTAACTCGTGGCGTTTGGCGCTAAAATTTGAGTAGTGACCCGCCTTTCATAATTTTAAGAGAGAAGCACTGTTTCGTTGATATATATACAAGTAGATTTAGAGTAGAGGTCCCGATAGCGTAATATTTAGTGCGTTGAAATTTCATGTGGCGACTTTGGTTCAATCCCCCTTGTGTGCAATTCTTTTTTTTTTTTTACTTTTCAGCTCGATTTTACGTTTTCTTTCCGGAATCGGACGGAAGATCTCTCGTTGCTCGCAACGAGTTTCATCTAGTTCTTATTATTATTCTTTTTTTTGACAAAATTTTGTACAGGCGATTTCTCGAAAACTATTCTGCGGTTTTTCATGAAACTTTCACAAAATATGTGTCATTATATGAAGTTGTTACATCCGTAGAGAAATTTGGAAAAATTGCTTCTGGTGCCAAGTTATGGACAATTTCCTGATTTTAAAATGCGATTTTGTCGCCCCTTTTTATCGAAAATGGCTCAAGATATCACCAGGAGACTTATTGGAGACGATAGTTTGTCACTTTGTGGTTTGCGGAATCACCTTTTCGTGCGTCGTCAATACTTCCGGTCGTTACGAGATGCAAATTTAAAAAAATCGTATTTTCAAACTTTTTTGTTTTTTAGTATTTTTCATTTATTTTTGGTATATTAATAGAAGTTCTCCTAATAATGCTTACTATATAATTTGTTTGAATGTTGATAAATCTAAACTCTAGATATTAGCATTCAAAAATCTGAAGCGGGTCCAAAATGGCGGCTGTCTCTGTCAACGCCGACATTTCGCAATAGGGGTTTACGGAGGCAGCTGAGCGTTTGCTTGAACGAAAGTAACATAAGGATAAATGAAATGTAAAGGAATATTTAGATTGTCACGTCGTAGTTTCGTTGCAGTTCTGTGTCAAACTAAAGGTATATTCCAAGTTCTTCTCAAACGTCTTCTGTAATTGATTTTGGCTGTTTCTCAAAGTAGAAAAAGAAGACTAAATGTGCAAATGTAATAAGATACCTACTATCTTTTGTTTTGAACCACGGAAAAACAGATCTTCAATCAAAGTTATAAGTACATTGTAATAGTTTTTCAAGAAACAATATTCGATATATATCTATATATAGTAAATATAAAAAGTAACACATGTTTTTCTCATGCACACTTGTGTCATATTAAATTAATACAAAAGATAAAAGATAAGAAAACCATTTCTTCATAAAATTGTTTGACGGAGTTTATATTAACATTCTATTCTCAAGGATCTGATTCAAATAATTATATTGAACATAAATGGTATCTGATTCTTTTCACGTCGTAGGGCGAGACATGTTTTTTTGGCGAACCATTTTAACTTATCACGATAGTTCACTATGGGGATAAACAGGAAATGAAAAAGTTTAAAATTACATGTATAGGCATTTCACTGCTTTATTGTTATTTACCTAAATACGATAAAGAATGTGTACAGTGTGTTGTTAAATATACTTTTTAAACCTCGAAATTTAGGCTATAAAATGCTCTTTAAGCTATCACACCTATTACTGGAACATTTGAAAAAAAAGGAGCGAAGATATACTCGTAGCGTTTGGCGTGAAATTATGAATAGTGGCCGCCTTTCATAATTCTTGGACAGGTGTACTCTTGCAGAAGTATATACAAGTACATTTAGAGCACTAGTCCCACTAGCGTAATGGTTAACACGATGGAAATAAAAGAGAAAAAAAGCGTCAAGAGTGGATTTTCAGGCTGGCGACCTGGGTTCAATCCCCCTTGTGACCAAAATTTTAATCACTTTTTTAGTTCGATTTTACATGTTTTTCCCCCAGAATTGGACGGAAGACCTCTCGTTGCTTGCAACGAGTCGTTTCTAGTTATATTATCTAATTACATGTATCTCAAAACTTATCTTGTAAATTCATACATTGAAAGTGAATGTTTCATCCATAAACTCACATGAATCAATGTGATGTTGGTTGAAATTTTAAAGCTTTTTTACTTATCCAAACTTAGCGTAGGACTTCCGGGATCTTAATCGTGTTGAAATTAAAAAAAAAACTTTTCCTTTTCGCAATTGTTGATAGAAATGTAAAATAAGGTAATCACAAGGGAAATACATTTGTGATGATAACATTTCGTCTTATCTTCAGTAAACTACCATTGCTAGTAGTTGTGAATTGAAGAAATAGAATGAAACATAAGTACACTTACCTGTTGTAGTTTGAAATGTAGGAATAAAAATCAAAATAAATATCCATATCGCTAACTCCATGGTATACATCTACATATACCCTGTGTTATGGTGCATCAAAGATGTTCACAAATGCAGCACATTGATGTTCTATTATTCGATCATCACTGGCCTTATAATTGTACAATTCAAACAGTTGACTTCTGTGTGAATAAGTTGAAATCTTGATCTTCCAGGAAGTAAAATGGATATTAGTTTCGTACAGTACATTTTCCGGTTTGGTATAAACTATATGAAGGAAATAATTGCTGTAATAAAAAATGAAAGGCAAATAGGCAATTACGATTAGATGATGCCCTGTTATTGTTTAAAAAGAAAAATGTCCGTCTTTGATTAAATAAAAATAATCAGCTCACCTTCCTTGTCCTTTTTGTAACCTTAAGTCGTTAAGAAACGTAGAATTAATACGAATTCGAATGCATCACTATGACTAACGTAGCCTTGTGCATGTAGTATATAGCATTTGCCCAGTATGCATTACTGCCTTAACTACAAGGTCCATAAAATCTAACAATATAGGAACTTTTGAATGGAATGACAATTAATATTTATTTGAATATTTGTACCTTCATGTATCTTCAATAATTTGTATCTATCTTCAAATCAATTTTACTTACCTATTATTTGATGATAGGTTCAATTGCTATGAAGATAGGCATAATTAATTTGAAGATAGACTCATATTACTGCAAGACATCTAATACCGTTGAATACCATGTACATGTACCCCTGAATAGGAGATTGACCAAACTGCTGCCATACATACTGCATAAATCTTTCCTAACCGTTGAAATTGGGTAGGGGGTGACATGCCTTATAAAAATCCCAAATGTGTTCAAAGGGATTCAGATCCGGGAATTTGACAGTGCATCAGAGGCCTTTGGTCAATATCCTTTGGCGTTAAGCACGTAAGTTCACCGCTTTAAGGATGATTCAGACTGCTTGAGATGATATTAGACTGTCTCGAGCACCGATCTCTTATCATTTTCATGCGATTGAAATTGGTTGTTTTCATGTTTCTAAGATTGTTTCAGGACAATTTAACACTCTTTTAACCAAAGCTTTAAAATTGTGATAAATTGGTGATAAAAATGACGCACAGCCTGTAGAAAAATGTATTAAAATGGGTTTTGATACTGGTTGTTAATTTTTAAAAGTAATATCAAAGAAAAAATAACACTAAATAAATTTGAGTAAAATGTGGTGCAAGGATGGTCCAAATATCAACGGCTTTCCCTTCTATCTCAATCGTCATTTTGCTAATGTTTTGTGTTTTTTAGTGAAATCAGTTTTTGATATTTGATAATGATCACAAACAGATGCTAATTACACAAAACACGTGCCGCTAAGTACAAATTTATTGTTTTTAAGCTTCGTCACGGAACACTGTTTTTCATCTTTACAATTGTTGAAAAGACTCATTTGTAAGTTGTAATAATTTGATAATATCTTACAATTCTATAAAGTAGCTTTTAAATAAATACATATATTAAAGTGAACACTTAGAAGTTTTGTTAAGTGTACAGTTCTCCCTCGTTCAAGTCACTGTCAGGGGGAACTTTCATTATTTTCAATAACTTGCAAACAAGAATATCAACAGTCTCGTTTGGAATCATCGGTTCGTAAGTTCTATAGTCGATACAATGACCTTGTTAGAAAATACAATTTATCACCGAATCAAATACTGATTAAAGTTTTTTATACTAATGTCAGGCCTTTATTTACAAGCTGAATTGAAGACGGATATTTCCGTATGTCCCGATCATGACAAGGAGCACACGGCGGGTGTGAGCAGGTCGGCAAGGGATGCTTACTTTTCCATGGCACCTGATCTCACCTCTGATGTTTCGGGGGTCCCCGTTTACTAAGTTCCAATATATTTTATATTGTTTTATGGACTTTTGAACTTTATTATTGTTCGTTATCTCCATATATTTTATTCTAAACTATTTGATGTTTGTATTATAAATACAATCACTGCCTTCCTATTATTTAAAATTAGTTTTGGTTTTCTCCCAGGAAAAACAAATGTATCATGAATTGAACAAATTTGCCTCGATCTTTACCCACTTTTCTCTAATGAAATATTGAATATTACCTTAAGGACGTTCGATCCTGAGCTTTTGAGTGGATTTTGGTCATGCCTTTATTTATAAAATTCTGCATTATTTATAAATTCTAACATTTAATCTGAATTCTACAATGCAAATTGAACTATTTTCAATGAAAAAACCGCAATTAAATTTATTCAAGTAGAATTAAACTAGGGACTCTATTTTGTGGCGGGAGGCTTTTTAGACGAAAATGATCAATTTGTCCCTTTTGAAATATAACAGTACTGTTTATTTTGGATTCCTATTTTTCCATGCTGATTGCACACAAAGCTGTTTTTTGCATTTAAATGTGTTATGCTGGTTCTGAAATATCTATTAAATAATTTTTTATGAATTCTATCAACAAAGTGTGACAAATATAGTATATATATTCTGAAAATCCGGGGAAAAATTGAGCCAATTTAACGTAATGACACTTTTTTGGTAATATCTGAAAATTTGCATCATATACCCCCACTTTTGATGTTCTTGTATAAATATTCAAGATAACTTTGACCTATTTGCTTAAATTCAGAAAAAGTTTACGACTAAAATAATTTTCTTGCTGATTAAATTTTCAATGCCAGAAAAATAACATTTTATAAGTGCAGAAAGGTCAAATGATTGATTATGCGAAGCAATTAGAAACTTTTTCTAATTCACAATTTTAAAGTGTCTTTTTTTAAACAGACTTAGAGTTCATTTTGTTTTTGCTTTAATTGTATAAAAATATTGCAGGGAAAACGTCGAAGATTAATTAATCTGTGTATGTAGAAACTAAAAATATACTTGACGAAAAAAGTTTAAGACTTTAAATATCAGGATCGAACGTCGTTAAAAAATTTTCTCCTACTTACTTTGATCTTCTATATGTTCTGATCCAGTCCTACCCAGGTTAGGCTATGGTTTGAATTAATCAGTGACTTGTATTGACTAACTGAGGGTGCTGCATTGATATTAATAATCGCAGTTCTGCTTGTAAGAATTCTTTTTATCCTTTTTCTCGTGACACCAGAGTTTGCCACATCTGTTTTATACTTGGATCTATTTCTGTCTACAGACGTTTATGGCAAACTTACAACTAAAATTTATAACAAACGGGACGACTTCAATTTCAAGTTCACTTTCCCTTATTTATACAGCAATATTCAATGCTGTTCCATCTGTACACTGTAGATACAAGACGAGTATGCTTCTATATGTCATATTTAGGACTGGGACGAGGTGCCAAGTATCAACTCACAGTCCTGTTTTTGTCATATAGGACCGTCTTCGTCTTAATGATAAGTGAACATTTTCAAGTGGTGGTCAGTTTCCTACAGAAGGCACATACATGTACATGTAGAAAATCTGACCCCGTATTTTTTTTCTTTTAAACAACCAAACTTAAACAGCTGAAATTTAAAAAAATAATAATAATAAGGGGAAACACACTCATATCAGCATAATTTTTAGTGATTTTTGTTACAATTTGCCATCATTTTACATAAGTTTAATATCTTTTATACATTTATTTGATAAATTACCTATCAAACAACTAAAATAAGATTACAGTGACTGTAAGATGGACCTGGGGGTGTACACCAATAGCGCATTTCAGAGTTATTACAGTATGGACAAATATATCTATGGTTAAATAAGGACTTATCGAACTTTTTTTTAGCAAAAAAGAAATTTGACACTGCTTTAGACACTTTGACGTTATCACCCGCGCGCCGTAAGGTGATACAATCCATAGCATAAAAATCTCATGATTTGTACTTTTATGCCTATAATTATTAGAAATTTGCAATTGATGAAAAATGTACTAAAGAGTAGTGAAAATTTTAGAATTAATGGTGATTATTTTTCAGTTGTCCACGATTTTTCCGGAAAATCCTCGTATGTGAAACTTACAAGATATCTATTTCATTTAAACCTCTGTATAAACAGAGAATTCGAAATTCGTAGCCAACACAGTAAGTGAATGGCCTAAAAAGAGTCAATGTCAAAACTCGAACTAACGCTATTCTCTCTGCGAACTTCCTTGTACCGATCATACAACTTTTGAAACGGAATTCTAAACGAGATTGTAGATACCCTTATATCATAAAAACATTCTCCTGTCTTCCTGTTTCCAAACCATATATGCATACGATAGTTCATTAATGTTTTTGTTTTATACACACCTTGCAATAGTGATAGACAAAGATATACAGACGGACAAATATGTACGTTGTGAAGTGATACGATTGTCAAAAATGTACCTTGTGATCAACAGTGATGCAAACTAATGGTTAATAAGTACGCCCCCAAGTAAAAAGCAGTGTTAAAGACAACTAAGTATTATAAATAACGATAATAATTACTTTAGATTATCGTAACAACATTCCAATTCAGATAGATAAGAATAAAGAAATTTTATAGACCAATATTCAGCCCATTTCACACTTTGTAAAACTTACATGGCGATTTCTATGCAAAACTATTTTTAAATATAAAGACGATAATAAATATCAATATTAATTACATTTTCAAAGCTAAAAGTTGTTATAATATGTAATTCATTGACAACAATTTTGCTTGGATTACAAGATTGTGTAAGTTGATTTATTAATATGAAACGAATATTTATTTTTGTTTGTTTATTTTCATTTTTGTTCAACCAGTATTATAAAAATAGTTCTGACTCTGCTAAATTTTGTTAACTGCACTCATTGTCGACGGCATTGAGTACTGGACGGTCGTATGTGTCATTCAGATTCTGATTACTGTGTTGAGCTCCATATTCATTCTCCAACCTCATGGTGTGGTCATATGTATCATGAGATGCATTTTCAATTTGACCATATTGATTGTCTAACATGTGGTTATAAAGATCATCTTTGGTTGACGTCATAATATTGTTAGGCTTGTGATGTTGTGATGCTCCATATTCATTTTCCGAGCTTGCTGGATAGTCATACGTATCAGCCGATAATTCTTTTTCTTGTACACCGTATTGATTGTCTGACATGTGACTATAGACTCCATCTTTTTGTGACGTCATAGTATTGTTTACGTCGTGGAGATGGTCGTAGTCTTCTTCCAATAGTTTGGGACTCATTGTGTTTTTTCCAGCAGACAATGTTTCTTGATGCTTACTAGTGTTTGCTAAGGTCGATAATTCTACAGAGGAAATGTTTCTGTGTTTCTCGCTATCTTTCTTCCTATAAAAGTACATATACGAGAAGAGTATGAAGCTGTAACAAATAACAGGAATGTACATATGTATGGACCTACTGTCCATTCGAAATATCGGAATCTGCGATTAATCTGCATGAATATGTATTCTCTTACCGTTTATAAAGAACAGAAATCCCAACAATGATTGCAATAATGAAGAACAGAGAACCAATGAGGACAGGTATCATTAATGTTTCTGGAATGATAAGGGGAAAATCAAATTTTTGTCAATTTTGTAAAATATCCTATTTATCAATTTTGGGTTATATGATATATGTTACCAAAAGATCCATCAGTAATAAATTTGTCGAAGGTGATTCCCTTAACACGTGGCTTGCATTTTTGGGTTGAATTCAATCTTTCTGTAAGAGTAAAACCATGATTGAAATAAAAAAAATCAATCATAAATTCTAATATGTGTGATAAATTGTCATTGTTTGTTTTCAAAGTAATTGCAGGTCATCGTATTTGTCTATTTTACGAAATGCTTTGATAATCGAGGAATATAATCATTTCCAAATGGCAAGAAAGTTTAATTTGCTATTACATACAAGTATAATTAAAAAAAAGATAACTTTAATGATAAATACATTTTAATTATATATAGCAGGAGAAAGTAATTACGTACTTTACAAAATCCAATAATTGAAATAAAATTTGATCGTGTTTAGACCATGTTCTTGCGTATCGAATCAATTAGGAGACATGAGCACAATCGACACACCTTGTTGATTTTAAAAATGAAATCATGTTGACAATTGAAATACTATTCCCGTTTGTCATACACTTTTATTTCTAGTTTCAAAGTATTCCAACGAAATTATATAATACATCCAGTTATGAATGGATGTGGTGCCTTTAATTTCGAGCTCACTGGATAAATCGAATCAACATAAAAACATAAGTTAAAATAGTTATTGAAAAAGAACTAGAGACACCGTAAACACTGAACTCACTAAATGATACCTCCGTCCCCATAATGGCAGTGCCCATATTTTGCTGTGGGTTTTTGGTTGAAACCCAAAATATGTGTCGCATTAAAAAGTAAAATAGGATGTGAACAATGGCACTATGTAATAAAGATTTTGTCAAAGTTTCATCAAATTTCATTTAGTGGCATGAGAGGAGTTGCGGATAAGAGATAGGTACATGTACCCCAAAGCATAACAAACAGAGGGACGGACGGACATACAATACTTTTCAAGCGGGGGATATAATAAATTTCACAATATGATATAATATATAATAAATGTCACGCACAATAAGAGTTTCCCTTTTCTCCTGTGAAAGGTTTGTTTATAGAAAATAAACAGGTCGGCTTAAAAGGAGCACATTAGTACATGTAAAACGAACAAAATGTGTTTGTGAAAACTATGCGCCTGTCGGCAACAAAGTTCGAAAAAGCTATTTTTAGCATATGGGTAACAGTCCAGATCACATGCTCTTTGACCTTGAAGTCATTTGAAAGAACTTGATTAGAGGAGTAACTATGCATACCAAATATGAAATCTCTATCTCCCATGGTTCAAAAGTAATGGTGAAGGTTCAAAAAAGCTATTTTTAGCATAAAGGTTACAGTCAAGGTCACAAGGTCAATGCCCTTGATGTCATTTGAAAGAACTTAAAATTAGTGGAGTATGCAAACTAAATATGAAGTCTCCATCTTTCATTGTTCAAAAGTAATGGCGAAGGTTACAGTTTGCCTTCGAAAAAACTTTTTAGCATATAGGTCACAGTCAAGGTCTCAAAGTCATTGACTTTGATGTCATTTGAAAGAGCTTTATTAGTAGAGTACGCATACAAAATATGAAGTCGCTATATTTCGCGGTTCAAAAGTTAAGGCGAAGGTTAAAGTTTGCAGACAAACAGACAGACGGGAAAAAAAAACAATATACGCCTTGGATCTATCGATCTGGGTATGAAGTTGTTCGGCCCACTGTTACTTGTAGATTTCTTTTACAAAGATCATTGATACTTTATCAAAAAGATGTATAATTTTCAAAAGTATTATCTTTGATGGGGGAATGAAATGATGTAAGTGCTATAATTTGCTTTTTCTTCTCAAGAAAAATGAGTAATTTTAATTTCATACTAAATCAAAGTACCAAACTCTACCAAATATCAAAGTAATAAATTATTATTAAAGTAATTATTTTTTAGCGAACAATTAAATGGTCTTGAAAGGTCATGACAAAATATAAAAAAAGTCTTTGGCAGTGGTGATCTAAAAAGTATAAGAAATATTTTTGTAAGGTGTATATTTTTTTTAATTTACATATTTGTTTTTATTTACCTAATATATATATATATATATATATTTATTTTCGGAATATGTCAGGTAAATAAATCAAGATAGATTGTTATTTCTGGACCTAACGTTCAACTTTAATAATAATTTTAATACTGTATATGTGAATACACAAACCTGATTCGCAAGCAAATGATCTTAGATTATTTAGTTCTAATTCTTCCCAAATCGTAGTTGTGATGTTGTTTGTTGTTCTCAGCAGCCCCACCGATGTAGGATTTCTTCCTTGATCTGATATAATGAGATAAGTGACTCAGAAAGGTATACCTTGTTTCAGTTTGCCATTATGCAATTTTTGTATACTTTCTCAAATATATATTTGTCAAACAATAAGGGTAATATTTTAATCGAACCTTTTCCTTCGCTGATGAAAGAATATAGGTTAAAATGTAATTCTTTTTTTTTGTACAATAGCTGCAAATTTTATTCCAATACTTACACACAAAGAAAGACATTGCTTGCTTAAACAGTGTATTTATATATTTAAAAATAATTATTTAAAGTATAATCAAATAAATAAAATATTTCATAATTGCTTATCTTGTATACGTCGTAGTACATGTCATGGAAGCGAAAGCCAGAGATAAAGAAATTTGTACATTGAATATGCTTAATGCTGTTCATTGACTGATAAACGGCAATGGTTTTCTCGAGCAATGGTTTTCTCAAGAAATAAGGAGAAACAATATAGTGGATGTAATAATTGTGTTTTAAAGTGTGCTTTTATAAAATGTTTTGAAAATACACGTATTAAGTCAATCATTTAACAAACTGTTCCATGTAATATCGTTGGAGCAAATTTAAGAGTTAATCTGATTAGATTATCTATACGTTTTACATACCGTCTTTGCCTGAATACATTTTCCTTGCTTTGATTACACCTATCCATTGTTCTGGACCGTTTCGCCAACAGGTGCTGTTTTTAATCCGATTGATGGCTACAGGGTATGTTTCCATTATTCCTATACATTTCTGACTGGCACTCTTCCAGTTCCTAATTGAATCTTTAATAACAAAGGGTACATGTATTTATTTAAAATAAACGAACATATTCTGTAAAATTTAATGAAAAGAAAGTGTCAACAATGATCAATAAATCAAAGAAAAGGAAGCGTATATAAATGAGGAATATATTTAATGACAGAGCAAATAAATAGACTGAAGAATGATAGAAACTATTTTTCATCAATAGACATCTCTCTCTCTCTCTTATTCATAAGTTGCTATATTCCTTTACATGTATTTTCATTTTTAGAATCATCTTTCACAATATTCATTACCTATAATCGAGAATCTTAAGTACAATAAACGCTTACGGTCGTCAGTTATCCTGAATCTTATATCGTCGATTGCTATATCACTTAGAGCTCCTCGTCCTCGTATTGCTTCTATGTAAACCTAAACCATAAAGTTTAATGAGAGACATGGCATCTTCAGATAGGGTATAAAATGATTATTAAATTATAAGATATATCAACGACGTTTAGTGGATTAAAAATGTATATTTTAATTCTAATGTTGATATATCCCTTAAAATAATAGATACCACAAAGTCTGACATATCTGTTTCATATTTGGATATTTTACTTAATAAAAGATGTCAATAGTTATCTAATAAACAAGCTTTATGATAAACGTGATGACTTTAACTTTACAATCCTCAACTTTTCTTACTTAAGCAACAATATATACATTTCTACTCTAAATCCATTCATTACTTTCAAATGAAAGTACAATAAACAACAAACACACCATTTGGACATAGCAACGACACGCAGTAGCTTTATTTGTGCAGTGTACATAACATATGCAAAATATGAAAATCAATTTGTATATACAAGTTTATGTTGGATTGAATAAATCATGATAAAATTTAAACTTTTAAGCTCTACGTGTCGTCCTAAACTGGTATTTAAACCACTATTCACCTCTTATATAGCCTTGCTAACGAGACCGGTTCTAAAGAACCAGGTGATATACACCAGGTATTCGAATGAAAACCTTGTAATTCCGAAAAAGTAATTCATTATCACACCAAGTAGAAATTGATTTCTGTCTAATTCGTTCCTCAAACGAAAGAAATCATATTTCTACTCTAAATCCATTCATTACTTTCAAATGAAAGTACAATAAACAACAAACACACCATTTGGACATAGGAACGACACGCAGTAGCTCTTAATACAAAGAACGGGAAAAAGAAAGTATAAAATCATTGATTTTAAATTCAATCCAACAAAATTCATTTAAATCATAAGTCATTCAATATTTCAAACAATAAATACATAAAATTTTACAGAAATTTTCCAATAAAATGTTTTGAAAACAATTAAATAATCACCAAAAAAAAAAATTACATGTATTCACTCCATTACTTTTATACAAACAAACAACAACATTCTATGCATAACAGCCAGCCGTGCGTGCGCTGGACGCCGTATTTTATTAACAGTACATCAATATACATATATAGAACACAGGACATTGTGTATGAGAAATAAAAACATCATAATCCACCAAAACTGCTGCATCTATTATAATTCTAAAATATTCTTTGTGATATACATGAAAAGCATCAGGGCCGGCCAGGAAAAACTAGAGATAAAAAATATTTTTTAAAAAACTCTAGAAACCTGTATCCGTTGCCAAGTGCCGCTGGATGCAAAAAATGTTGCGACGGACCTCACAACCTACCAATAAAACCCCAAGAAAAAAAAAATCAAATATATGTATATAAATATATTCACTTATACCCTTTATACATAAATTTAAAAAATTTAGCTGTTGCTCGCTTAAGTCGGCGGCTAGAAGTGACCAACCTTTAAAAACCAGTTCTCTACTACACCTCAAAATCAATTTCTATTGGTCACTCTCTGGCCAATCCACACAACATGCGTATAAATATCTTGTCATTAATACAACATTTTCCCGCTATACTAATGAAACATGGGAAAATATCAATACATGTATATCCATCCTAAAAAAAATTCAATACACCACCGTATTTTGAAAATCCATAACGCAATTCACCATGTGAGTCTGATTGTAAAAGTCTTGATGTTATGCACACATCCTATCCATACATCGATAAATGCTTGCTGCACTTGAGTTTTGAGTATAGTTTCAAGTCAAATTCAACGCATACCATACGATTTATCGTGAAGTCTTAGGGAAGAAGACTTCAAATATATCAAATGAATTCGACACAGTTATACATAGAAGTATATTCATCATCCAATATCAAAATAGCACAAAATACACATTCCTGTGAAATATCTGGAATCCCATCTCAATTCCTTGGATAAGTGCCTCTTTGAAACTCTGTCATTATTGGTACACCGATTAATACCTCATGGTACTTGAATTAAACGTAAGAAGAATATAACCAATAATACCTGGAAGAACAAATTTGATGTTAGAAAACTGATAGATACATATATCTTGTAACTCTGATATTTTAGTAAATATGTATAGGATCTCTTTTTCTCTCTCTCTCTTAATCTATATAAAAAAAAAAATCAAAGTCATCATCATTGTGGCTAGCAAAACATGCATACTATCATTAAATGATAAAATGAATCAAAATTCCACCATTAAGTTCAAAATTTATGAATTGAACTAATCATTTTTTTTTTTAATTTAAGAAAAATATGAATGTATTTGTATAAACATCCATTTGATAATCAAGTTATGATAACCTTATTTTCATCAGAATAATCAACATTTACTTTACTATTTGTAGAGATACTTCTTACTGAAAACAATCTCACCAAATGGCATCAAAACAAATGTGGTTGGATAAACATCCATAAAATCATTTTATGATATAATTTATCAAAAAGTTCAAATTCCAATAAAATTTTACTTTATTTTCATCAGAATTATCAACCTTTACTTTTACTACTTATGTAGAAATACTTTCTACACAAACAAATCTCGCCAAATGGCATCACCACAAATGTGGTTGGATACAAATCCATACATTCATTTTATGATATAATTTATCAAAAAGTTCAAATTCCAATCAAATTTTACTTTATTTTCATCAAAATTATCAACCTTTACGTTACTACTTATGCAGAAAAACTTTCTACATAAACAAATCTCGCCAAATGGCATCACCACAAATGTGGTTGGATACAAATCCATACATTCATTTTATGATATAATTTATCAAAAAGTTAAAATTCCAATTTAATTTTACTTTATTCTTATCAGAATTATCAACTTTTACTGTACTTTATATGTAGAAAAACTTTCTACTTTAACCAACTCGCCAAATGGCATCACCACAATACGGTTCAAAAAACATCCATAAATTCATACTATGTGAAAAATTTATCAAAATACTTCAAGTTCCAATCAAATTTTTCTTTGATATCAAGAAAATTATAAACTTTTTTTTTTTAATATATACCAAGAAACACTTTCTACAGAAACCAGTCTTATTAAGTGGCTTCATCACATATGTGGTTGGACAAACATCCATAAATTCAAACTTGTATGATAAAGAACCCACTTTCTACTTTAACAAATTCGCCAAATGGTAACACTACAAATGTAGTTGGATAAACATCTATAACATAACATCATTTTATGATAAAATGTGCAAAGCATTCGAATCCAATCAATTTCTCTTTCATAGTATCAGCAATATAATGAAAACAATCTTTAATAAATTGCCAAATGGCAATACCAAATAAGTGGTTGGAAAACATTCATTAAAGCATGATATGCTAAATTGTGCCAAAATTATTCAAATTCAAACCCAACTCAATATTATTTCAAACAGAAATATTAATTTTCATTTGACTATTTTTGTACTTCTCATTGTCTACTGAAATCAATCCCGCAAAAAACACCACAGATGCGTTATGATAAACATCCATAAAATATTTTATGCTAAGCTGAGTTAGAGTTGGAATTCCCCTCAAATTCTATTTTTGTTTTAAATTAAAAAATAACAGCTTTTAAATAGCTACAGTATTATAAAAATCACTTTCCACTGAAAACTAATTTCAATGATAGTAAATACTCCAAAAATTGTTGCCAAATAATAAACATTCATTAAATCATTTCATTATAAAATGAAATATATCAATGTTATCAAAATTCAAATCTTCCAAACACTACCAAACACGAAAATTGTGCAAAACAGCTCATGAAATGAATATTCAGAAAAAATTTAATTTAATTTAGGTGAATCATTTTTAAAATTAGAATTCATTGACAAAATTTCCTTTTTACTCGAAAATCAAAACCGACAAAAATTCAGTTTCTGTTATCAAAACTTTTTAGAATTGAAACTAAATACTTAGATCTCTTTTTTATGCATGTTTTGCAAGATCTAAGGAACATGTGGAGCATTTTAATATTTCTCAATCTGACACTGATTAACATTCAACATTCAAGATCAAAGGTCAAATATAAACTTGTTTCACTTAAGACTGAGTTATACATGTTTAAAATGTGAATTCTGAATTTCTCATGCATGTTTTATAAGATCTTGGAAACATGTGTGACCTCACTACAATATTTATTAATGTAAATCTGTCAACCAATATCAAATTTAGAAAAAAATATTCTATTAAACATAAATTATTAAATTTTCACACATAAAAAAAATTGAAAATTGAAATACATTTGTACGGTGTTGAGCTGACCATAAATTGAGTAGAAACTGAAGTGAAACGAAAACAATTAGGTTATCTTGAATTAGCAACTATATATTTTGCATGTTTGAAAAATATCACATGCAATTATATATGATGAACTGAAATTTAAAAAAAAAGAATTAATTACTGAATTTAAAAAAAATCATACAATTAATATTGATATAATAAGACAATTTCACATTTAAAATGTTTGATATGTGAAAGTCAAGATATCCTAGATCTACATTTGACTAGTCTGTTTGGTCTAGTCATATCTTCTTTTTCAGAATTGCATATAGAAAAACCTGTTACACAGGCACAGTTAGACTAGATCTATACATGTACATGCATGTTATTTTCATGCTGCTTAGTTTTAGGAAAAAAAATAAAATTTTACATGAAACATATACTGAAACATTATTACTATATAGGCATTTGATTTTTAAAAATGATTAAATATTACACGTTGGACGCAAGTCGCAATCCCGGCCGGGTCTCACGATCATTGTTAGTAGGAAATTTAAAACACTAAGTATATTTTTCCTTAATTATTTGGATAGGTTAATTTCTTTTCATATGTTTGCAAAATCAGTATTTGTCCACGTGTAATTACGATCTGTTTGTTAACATTATTTTTTAACATGGTTATGATAATCGTAAATTTAATTTGTGCGGAGCGGTTGGTCGGGAATTATGGAATGCCGATCTCGATTATTTTTCTCCATTAAAATATATAACATTTAA